CTCATGCATAAGTTCACCCCATGTAGAAGTCTATCCCATGTATATGCCTACTCTATGTATACATATACCCCGTGTATATGTCTACCTTATGTATAAGTTCACTCCATGTAGAAGTCTACCCCATATTTACGTCCATCCCATGTGTATGTCTATCCCCGTGTATGCATCTACCTCATATACACATCTATCCCATGTATAAGTCCACCTCACATATAAGTCCACCCCACATATACGTCTACCTCATGTATACCTCTATCCCATGTATATATTTATTCCTCGTATACGCCTATCCCATGTATAAGTCTACCCAATGTTTACGTCTATCCCATGCATTCGTCTATCCCATGTATACATTTATTCCTTGTCTACAGCTATCCCATGTATACATTTATTCCTCGTATATGCCTATCCCATGCATAAGTCTACCCAATGTTTACGTTTATCCCATGTATACATCTATCCCATGTATACATTTATTCCTTGTCTACAGCTATCCCATGTATACATTTATTCCTCCTATACGGCTATCCCATGTATAAGTCTACCCAATGTTTAAGTCTATCCCATGCATACATCTATCCCATGTATACATTTATTCCTTGTCTACTGCTATCCCATATATAAGTCTATCCCATGCATATGTCTATCCCATGTATACATTTATTCCTCACCTACAGCTATCCCATGTATAAGACTACCCAATGTTTACGTCTATCCCATGCATACGTCTATCCCATGTATACATTTATTCCTTGTATACGGCTATCCCATGTATATGTCCACCCAATGTTTACATCTAACCCATGTATACTTCTACCTCATGCACACATCTATCCCATGTATACGTCTACTCCATGTAGACCTCTATCCCATGTATACATCTACTTCATGTATACCTCTACCCCATGTATACATCTACTCCATGTATACCTCTATCCCATGTATACGTCTACTCCATGTATACCTCTATCCCATGTATACATCTACCCCATGTACAATTCTATCTCATGTATAAGCCAATCTCATGTATAAGTTGCAGGCAGTTTTGGGGGGGGGGGGCAGAAGTATAGATTATTTTGGAAACATAGCTACGGTTTTTGTAGAATTGCAAAACACCGACCGTGACTTAGACCCTTGGCCTATATAGAGTAAGACACAAGCAAGCAAGTAGTCTTGATGCGAGCATAGGATGGATCTTTGAGGCTATATTTGGCAGTTGATATTCGATCGTCGGCCTCACTATATGATATCGTGACATTGCTGTGATTTGATCAGCCCGTGGCATTTGTAATTCTAGACTGCAGTTTGACACCACATTTAACCGCCACGGCATAATGCAAAGGGATCATGGGAGTTGTAGTTTGAGGAGTGTGGAATTGCCACACCAAACTACAACTCCAATGACTCCATAGTATTGAACCACGGCAGCGAAAATGTCCAAATGCATTAATGCTACAATGCAGATGCTCCTTGGACTGTATTCATCACCCAGTGACCCGGAACCCTTTGCTTAGAAGAGATGAGTCCCTGAGTATCTCTGGTCAGGTTTCCCAGCTGTCTAACCATTCATTTCAAAGAGAGGTCTGGTTATTGTCGAAGGCTTTCAAGGCCAGAATCACTGGGTTGTTGTAGGTTTTTTCGGCCTATATGGCCATGGTCTAGAGGCATTCTCTCCTGACGTTTCACCTGCATCTATGGCAAGCATCCTCAGAGGTAGTGAGGTCTGTTGGAACTAGGAAAAAGGGTTTATATATCTGTGGAATGACCAGGGTGGGACAAAGAACTCTTGTCTTTTGGAGCTAGGTGTGAATGTTTCAACTGACCACCTTGATTAGCATTTGATGGCCTGGCAGTGCCTGGGGCAAACTTTTGTTGAGAGGTGATTAGATGTCCTTGTTTGTTTCCTCTCTGTTGTTGTGCTGTTGCAATTTTAGAGTTTTTTTTTAATACTGGTAGCCAGATTTTGTTCATTTTCATGGTTTCCTCCTTTCTGTTGAAATTGTCCACATGCTTGTGTATTTCAATGGCTTCTCTGTGTAGTCTGACATGGTGGTTGTGAGAGTGGTCCAGCATTTCTGTGTTCTCAAATAATATGCTGTGTCAAGGTTGGTTCATCAATTAGAACAGCACAACCACAGAGAGGAAACAAACAAGGACATCTAATCACCTCTCAACAAAAGATTGCTCCAGGCACTGCCAGGCCATCAAATGCTTATCAAGGTGGTCAGTTGAAACATTCACACCTAGCTCCAGCAGACAAGAGTCCTTTGTCCCACCCTGGTCATTCCACAGATATATAAACCCTTTTCCTAGTTCCAACAGACCTCACAACCTCTGAGGATGCTTGCCATAGATGCAGGCGAAACGTCAGGAGAGAATGCCTCTAGACATGGCCATATAGCCCGAAAAAACCTACAACAACCCAGAGGTCTTGTTATCTTTCAAAGGGTGCTTTATTTGTTGACAAACAGCAGGATCACCCAATTTTGTACTAATCTCAGAAAGGTTCGTTCTCCTAGTCACATCGAAACCTACGTGTAAATATGGCTTCCTCCATTCCCTGCTTTCCCAACCACATGGTCTTGCATGTTTCCATGTTGTATATATATTTATTTATCGTATCAGAAGCAAATTGAGGGTCGAGTTATAATGTATTTAAAAACACAAACACAAAGTTACAAGCTTGGCATGATACTAAATGTCCTTTGACCAGAAGCTGGCCACTTGGAGTGCCTCTGGTGTCTCTGTGAGAAGGTCCTCCATTGTGCATGTGGCACGGCTCAGGCTGCGTTGGAGTAGATCAGTGGTTCTCAACCTGGGGTCCCCAGATGTTTTTGTCCTACAACTCCCAGAAATCCCAGCCACTTTACCAGCTGTTAGGATTTCTGGGAGTTGAAGGCCAAAAACATCTGGGGACCCCAGGTTGAGAACCACTGGAGTAGATACTTGGCATGATACTAAATGTCCTTTGACCAGAAGCTGTCCATTTGGGGTGCCTCTGGTGTTGCTATAAGAAGGTCCTCCATTGTGCATGTGGCAGGGCTCAGACCACATTGTAGTTGGTGGTTTGTTGTTTGCTCTTCTCCGCACTTGCATGTCATGGATTCCACTTTGTAGCCCCATTTCTGAAGGTTGGCTCTGCATCTCGTGGTGCCAGAGCGCAGTCTGTTCAGCGCCTTCCAAGTCGCCCAGTCTTCTGTGTGCCCAGGGGGGAGTCTCTCATTTGGTATCAGCCATGGGTTGAGGTTCTTGGTTTGAGCCTGCCACTTTTGGACTCTTGCTTGCTGAGGTGTTCCAGCGAGTGTCTCTGTAGATCTTAAAAACTATTTCTTGATTTAAGTCATTGACATCCTGGCTGATACCCAAACAAGGGATGAGCTGGAGATGTCTCTGCCTTGGTCCTTTCACTATTGGTTGCCACTTCCCGGCGGATGTCAGGTGGTGCAATACTGGCTAAGCAGTGTAATTTCTCCAGTGGTGTAGAGCGCAAACACCCCGTAATAATGCGGCATGTCTCATTAAGAGCCACATCCACTGTTTTAGCGTGGTGAGATGTGTTCCACACTGGGCATGCGTACTCAGCAGCAGAGTAGCATAGTGCAAGGGCAGATGCCTTCACTGTGTCTGGTTGTGATCCCCAGGTTGTGCAAGTCTGCATTTGTATGATATTGTTTCTAGCACCCACTTTTGCTTGATAGTCAAGCAGTGCTTCTTGTAGGCCAGAGAACAGTCCAGGGTAACTCCTAGGTATGTTGGTGTGCTGCAGTTCTCCAGTGGGATTCCTTCCCAGGTCATCCTCAAAGCTCAAGATGCTTGTCTGTTGTTAAGGTGAAAAGCACATATCTGTGTTTAAGATGGATTAGGAATCAGTTGGTTTTCCCTGTAATAGGCAGTAAGAGCACCTAAAGCTTTGGAGAGCTTCTGTTCAACCATTTCAAAGCTCCCTACTTGGGTGGTGATGGCATGATCGTCAGCATAGATGGAACTCTCTGTCCCTTCTGGCAATGGCTGGTCATTTGTGTAAATGCTAAACATTGATGGAGCTAGCTTTGGTGAGCTTGTGTTCAACCATTTCAAAGCTCCCTGCTTGAGTGGTGATGGCACGATCGTCAGCATAGATGAAACTCTCTGTCCCTTCTGACAGTGGCTAGTCATTTGTGTAAATGCTAAACATTGATGGAGCTAGCTTCAGAGAGCTTGTGTTCAACCATTTCGAAGCTCCATGTTTGAGTGGTGATGGCATGATCGTCAGCATAGATGAAACTCTCTCTCCCTTCTGACAGTGGCTGCTCATTTGTGTAAATGCTAAACATTGATTGAGCTAACTTCGGAGAGCTTGTGTTCAACCATTTCAGAGCTCCCTGCTTGGGGGGTGATGGCACGATCGTCAGCATAGATGAAACTCTCTGTCCCTTCTGACAGTGGCTGATCATTTATGTATATGTTCAACATCGATGGAGCAAGCATGCTCTTCTGAGGCACGCCGTTCTTCTGTTTTCAACATCTTCTCTGACCCTGAAACTCAACAAAAAAGTTCCTGTTTTGTAGCAGAGTTCCTATGAAGAGAGTGAGATGGTCGTCCTTTGTGATATTATACATTTTTCTCAGGAGAAGGCGATGATTTACAGTGTCAGGTCTGTGAAGACCGCTCTTGTAATCGGTTGCCTTTCAAAACCATCTTCTATGTGCCGAGTCAGGTTCAGAACTTGCAATGTGCAGCTTTTGCCTTTTGATGTGGAACCATACATGTCAACATGGTTGTATATATACTACGTGCGACTTGCAGCATGCATGTAGTATATATACAGCAATTGTATGTCCCATGTTGACCTTTATGGCATGGCGTCTCAAGTAGTTGTGAAAATTTTCCAATTTTTTGATTGTGCAAACGGTCAATAACTCTCGTTTTGATGTGATGAGCTCCAGAAATCTGATGGAAAGGTGAGATGTCAGTGAAACGAATGGCCGTTCTTTGACGCCTTCTTCCTTTTGCTTTCCAGATTTCTCCACCCAGGTCAATTCCACCTCCTTGAGTTCTCCGACGAGCCGGGGTCCGATGGGCGCCCCTTCCCTCCATCCGTCGATGGGCCCCCTGGGGTCGCACGCTCAGCTCCATTCGCCCATCAGCACCCTGAGTTCGCCCATCAACGGCATGGGGCCGCCGTTCTCCGTCATCAGCTCTCCCATGGGGACGCACTCGATGTCCGGACCGTCCCCTGGCCTCGCGTTCGGAACGAATAGCCCGCAGGTGAGCCGTCCCCGTCCCTTATATCGTGACGGAGGGAGTCTGATGTTCCATCACTTCAATCTAGACCAGGCATGGGCAAACTTTCTAACTTGGGGGTCGCGTAGTTGGCCGGGAAGGATGGGGTTCTTCCCAAGCCCCCTTCCTGACCTTTCTTCCTCTTCCTCTTCTCTTTCGGAGTCAGAAAGTGAAGGAAAGGTGGGAAATATTTGGATTCCAAAAGGGTTGGTCTTGGTCAGGAGGAGATGGTGGATGGGAGTGATAAAGTATATCCATTTGACCCCATATACTCCTAATATAGAATCCTCGAATCCTAGAGCAGGAAGGAAGGGTGGAAGAGAATGGAGGGAAGGGAGAAGGAAGAAAGGAAAGACAAAAGGTAGGGAAGGAAGTAGAAAGAGAGGGAAGGAGGGAGAAAAGAGGAAAGGAAGGAAAGATTAAAGGGTTGAAGGGAACGAAGGAGGAATGAAAAGGCAAGAGGAAAGAAGGAAGGAGAAAGAGGGACGAAGGAAGAAGAAAAGAGGGAGAGAGGGAGCAAGAAAGAGGGAGGGAAGGAGGAAGGAAAAAGCGAAGGGAGGGAGGGAGGAGGAGGAGAAGAAGGAAGGAAAGTGGAAAGAAAATAGAAGGAAAGGGAAGGAAGGAAGAAGGGAAGGAAGGGAGGGAAGGAGGACGGAAAAAGAGAAGGGAGGGAGGGAGCGAGGAAGAGAAGGATGGCAGAAAGGAAAGGTGGAAGAGAATAGAGGTAGGAAGGGAAGGGAGAAGGAAGGAAAGACAGAAGGGAAGAAGGGAAGGAAGGAAGGAAGGAGAAAGAGAGGGAAGGAGGGAGAAAAGAGGGAAGGGAAGGAGAAAAGGTGGAAGGAGGAAGGGAAAAAGAGAAGGAAGGAGGGAGGAGGGAAGGGAGAAGAAGGAAAAAAAAGAAAGACAAAAGGGAGGGAGGGAAGGAAGGAAGGAAGGAAAAAAGGAGAAAGAGAAAGGAGAGAGAAAGAGGGAAAGGAAGGGAAGAAGGGAGGAGAGGGAAAGTAAGGAAGGGAGGGAGGGAAGGAGGAAGGAAAAAGGAAACAAGGAAGGAAGGAAGGAAGGAAGGAAGGGAGGGAGGAAGGAAGGGAGGGAGGGAGGGAATGGAGGGAGGGAGGGAGGGAGGGGAGAAGGAAGGAAAGACAAAAGAGAAGGAAGGAAGGAAGGAAGGAAGGAAGGAAGGAAGGAAGGAAGGAAGGAAGGAAGAAAGAGAAAGAGGAAGGAGAGAAAGAGGGAAGGAAGGAAGGAGGAAGGATGAAAGAGTGGAAGGGAAGGGAAGAGGAGGGAAGGGAGAAAGAAGGGAAGGAAGGAAGGGAGGAAGAAGGAAGGAAGAAGAAGGAAGGAAGGAAAGAAGGAAGGAAGGAAGGAAAGAAGGAAGGAAGGAAAGAAGGAGAAAGGGAAGAAGGAGGGAGAGAAGGAAGGAAAGAAGGAAGGAAGGAGAAAGAGAAGGAAGGGGAGGAAAGAGGGAAGGAAGGAGGAGAAAGAGTGGAAGGGAGAGGAGGAGGGAGAAAGAGGGGGGAGAAGGGAAGGAGGAAGGAAAGAGAGAGGGAAGGAAGGAAGGAGGAAGGAAGGGGAAAGGGATGGAGAAGGGAGGAAAAAAAGGAAGGAAGGAAGGAGAAAGAGGAAGAGAAAAAGGGAGGAGGGAGAAGAAGGAGAAGGAGGAAGAAAAGAAAGAAAGACGGAAGGAAGGAAGGATAGGATGGTGTGAGAGAGGGGGGCTTGAGAAAAGAGCACAAGAGGCCGCATCCTGGCTTTGCCCATAATTATTCTTGACCCTTTGCTCCTGTGGATGCAGCCTAGAATCCCCGTGGCAATGGGTCGCAGTGGTCATTTATTTTCCGACTCTGCGAGGCCGGAGGAGGTGGTGGTGGGTTGGGAGGAGGGGAAAAAAAAAGGAAGCAAGACTGAGGGAGAACCCTCCCACGCCAAGGAGATAAGCCCTTGGGATAAAAATAGTCCAAGCTGATGGAAGCGGCCACCTGTTGCTGGCGTGGCTTGGGCAGCCGTGGGGATCTGTGTCATGGATCTCCGTCTGGCAAGAAGTGGGCCACCACCTGCCCACGGCAAGGGCTTTATTTACTCCGGCTTCTCCCGGGGAAGGAGCCCGACACCTGCTCGGCCTTTCGCATGCGGCTGTTAAACAGATCTGGACCAAACTTTGCCCACAGAACCAACATGGGTAACTGTGATTACTTGCAGGCTTTGGTCGTGATTACCCTGGGAATCTGGGAGTTGTAGTTCACCCTTAGATATCGGATCTTGACCACACTTGGCACACAGACCCGACACAGCCAACTTTGGATAATGCCACGGTTTGGGAAGGATGGACTCATGATTCTGGGAATTGTAGTTCACCCACATCCTTATGCATTTTATATTGGGGACATTCATATAGAACAAAAGGAAAGACTGGCTTTTTCCTAATATATGGAGTAAGGCATTATCAAACTGATATTACCAAACTTCGAAAAACACACAATGCCTTTCTCAAATAATCTGGGCATCGCCAGTCCCCAAGCCAGTATAATATAAATATAATAATAAATACAATAATAAACGCAATATATAAATATAATAATAAAAATATAATATAAATACAATAATAAATACAATATACATACAATAATAAATATAACATAAATACAATAATAAATATAATATAAATATAATATAAATATAATAAAATACAATATAAATATAATAATAAGTATAATATAAATATAATATAAATATAATATAAATATAATAATACATATAATATAAATACAGTAATAAATATAATAAAAGTAATATAATATAATAATAAATACAATATATAAATATAAATACAATATAAATACAATAATAAAATATAATATAAATACAATAATAAATATAATAATAAATATACTAAAATACAATATAAATATAATAATAAACATACTAAAATACAATATAAATATAATAATAAATACAATATAAATATAATAATAAATATAATAAAATACAATATAAATACAATAATAAATATAATATAAATATAATATAAATACAATAATAACTATAATATATATATAATATAAATAATAAATATAATATAAATATAATAAAATACAATATAAAATAAATATAATATAAATATAATAAATTCAATAAAATTATCATCATTATGAGGTATAGAACTAAAGTAGACTACATAAAAGGAATTTATCTACAGGTTGGCTTGCAGTTCCAGAAATGACCCCATGAGTCTTGTTTGGGTTGGAGGTTGCCAACAGGATTTCAGCCTGGGTTAACATCACAAACGACGAACCTCCGAAATAATGCGTTCCCAACATCTCCCCAAATGCAACGCAAGCTATCTGGGTCATGAGCGATTGGAGATGATGACCCATTTCCCCACATCTTCCCTCGCAATGGGCTGCCCAGTGCGTGAGAGTCGGGGGGCTCGTGGGAATTGCAAGCTTGTGTCCCCCCCCCCCACTATTTAGCAGAATTACAGAGAACGTGCTGCAAAATGAGGCCTACCATCAAAGAGTATTCTGAACTCCACCAATGATGGAACTGAACCAAACTTGGCAGACAGAACTCCCACAACCAAGAGAAAATACTGGAAGGGTTTGGTGGGCATTGAATTTGGGAGTTGTAGTTCACCTACATCCAGAGAGCACTGTGGACTCAAACATTGGCACGAATACTCAATATGCCCAAATGCGAACACTGGTGGAGGTTGGAGGAAATTGACCTTAACATTTGGCAGTTGTAGTTGCAGGGATTTATAGTTCACTTACAATCAAAGAGCATTCTGATCTCCACCAGTGGAATTGAACCAAACTTGGCCCACAGAACTTCCATGACCAACAGAAAATTCTGGAAGGGTTTGGTGGGCATTGACCTTGAGTTTTTGGAGTTGTAGTTCACTTACATCCAGAGCGCACTGTTGACTCAATCAATGATGGATCTGGACCAAACTTGGCCCACAGAACCCCCCATGACCAACAGAAAATACTGGAAGAGTTTGGTGGGCATTGACCTTGAGTTTTGGAGTTATAGTTCATTTCCATCCAGAGAGCACAATAGACTCAAGCAATGATGGATCTGGACCAAACTTGGCCCACAGATCTCCCATGATCAACAAAAAATACTGGAAGAGTTTGGTGGGCCTTGACCTTGAGTTTTGGAGTTGTAGTTCACTTACATCCAGAGAACACTGTTGACTCAATCAATGATGGATCTGGACCAAACTTGTCATGAATACTCAATATGCCCAAATATGAACACTGGTGGAATTTGGAGAAAATAGACCTCGACATTTGGGTGTTGTAGTTGCTGGGATTTACAGTTCACCTACAATCAAAGAGCATTCTGAACTTCACCAATAATAGAATTGGGTCAAACTTCCCACACAGAATCCCCAGGACCAAAATTCTGAATTTTTGATGGTCTTTGGCAACCTTCCTGGTGACCCCCAAGGGTCCTGATCTTCAGCTTGAAAAACTCTGTTCTAGGTCCTCCAATATGACCTAAATCATAGTGGAGGATCTAGAGCAGTGGTTCTCAACCTGTGGGTCCCCAGGTGTTTTGGCCTACAACTCCCAGAAAGCTCAGCCAGTTAACCAGCTGTTAGGATTTCTGGGAGTTGAAGGTCAAAACATCTGGGGACCCACAGGTTGAGAACCACTGATCTAGAGATTCCTAGGGGGAACATTGTTTTGGTACATAAGGAGAAGACCTGAGGTTCTGGTGATGGGAAGAGTATCTCTGTGTTCACCTTATTGACATCTTCCCCTTCGCCAGACGGTTCTGATTGGAACTTCTCAAAGGATTTAGGATTTCCTGTTTTCTTTGAAGAGCATCGATCCAAAATAACATCACTAGAGTTCCAATCCCAAATTGGATGTTCTAGGTTGACAGAGATCTTCCCCAAAGTCCCATCAAAGGGCGGATCTGAAAACCTAACATCACTAGAGTTCCAATCCCAAATTGGATGTTCTGGGTCGACAGAGATC